ATTTTGGTGTCTGCAGGGGTCTTGGAACCAACCAATCAAGAAACAACTGTTTCTGTTCTGTAACCCGTAAGTTTCTCTCCTAGAATAGTCAAGAAAAGTATATTCAGGGGCTGGAGAGATGGCTCAGTGGTTAAGAGCACTAGCTGCTGTTTCAAAGGACCCGGGTTTGATCCCCAGCACCCACATGGCAGCTAACAACCATTTGTAACTCCAGTTCCAGGGGAATCCTACGCCCTCTTCTGACCCCTCCATGGGCATTGCATGACACAGGTGCACTTACATACATACAGCCAATATACTTATACACATAAAATAAAAATAGTAAAATCTAAAAAATAAAAGTATATTCAATAGGTAACAAAAGACAAGATGTCACAGCAGTATCACTTTTATAGTAAAAAGTAAAAAATAAGGTACTTATCAAAAATCAAAAGGAATTGATAAATTGTGGCATATTTAGTGAATAGCACATTAAAATGAAAATGTAGCATAAATCATTCTCATAGACATGCTTTTGAAGCTAAAAGCCAGACAGTGACTACATGACATGATCCATTTATGTAATATTCAAAACCAGGGAGAATTGTCTGGTGTTTGAAGTCAGGGTGTTGCTCGGGTGGTTGAGGGTTGAGGGCTCATAGGAAGGTTCTGAGGTGCTAGGATTGCTCTTCTTTTTTTTTTTTTAAATCTAAGTACTAGTTAAATAGATAGGCCCATTTGTACTAATGTGTTATTTGTGTACTTTTCTGATATAAGTTATACGTGAATAAAAATGAAAGTGAATGAAGTGCTGAGAGTGTAGCTCAGTGGTAGGGTACTTGTCTAGCATACACAAGGCCCTGGGTTCTATCCCCAGTACTACTATGACCACCAACAAAAACGAATGAAATGGTCTCTTTTACAGAAGCATCTCTAGGAAGTAAAGAAAGCAAGAAACAGTGTTTGGTTTTTTTCCTGTGGCTGTGCTAAAATACCCTGACAGGATCAAGGTACTTGATGCACAAGCCTGAAGACCTATGCTCAACCCAGAACCCACATAAAAGTGGAAGGGGAGAACCAGCTCTCTAAGTTGTCCTCTGAGGTGTACACACACACACACACACACACACACACACACACACACAGTTTTAAAAAATATTCAGGTAAAAGCAACTTGGGAGAAGGGGTTTATTCTCACTCAGAGTTTCAGGATATAGTCCATTCTGGGGGGGGAAGGGGGGGAGTGTCACAGCTGTTCATATCTGGTCACATTGCTTCCATAGCCAAGAAGCTGAGAGCGAGGAATGCTTGCATAATAAACATAATCAAGATAATGCCCCTCCCCCAGGCATGCCCTGGGCGCATCTCCCTAGTGATTCTAGATTGTCTCAGGTAGACAGTAAACACTAACCATCACATGCAGCATTTTTGCCATGCCACATTTTGATTTGGTGACCTGTGCGCCACCTTCTTTCTACTTCTTAGTCTGTCCCTAACTGGTTATTTCCCAAATCCCAGTGCTTGATATTCTTTTCTCCCTGTATCTCAGTGTTGGGGTATTAATTTATATCTCTATTCCTAGTTCCAGCCCAAGTCTCAGCTTTACATTTGTTTCTTTCTAGTGTTCTTGTGGGATAGTTCTTGTTGATCATATCATGATTTACACAAAGGAAGCATGTTTGAAACCTGTTGCTTCCCTGTAAGTAAGCCACCAACATTTAATCTTAACTGTTTCCATCAGTGGCTTCACTTTGGAATTGTTTTGTTCTTATTGACCTGATTTTTCACTCTACTAGACAATACTATTAAGTGTTGTTAACAATTCTTTTAATGTTGTAAAATGCTTTATTTCAATTTACAAAGTTACCATGAATTAGTATATCATTTGGAAAATTATAGTAGTGTTGCTATACTCATTTGCTTTTTCTTGGAGCTTAGCCAATTTTTTTTATAAAGCATCCATATATATTTTTCCCTCATTATGCCAATATAGTTCTTGGCACTTTAACTTTTAGTGAAATAATGTTGAGTTGAATAGTAACAAAAGGTGCTGGTCCTGGTTAGTTGGGAAGAGCAGGCATAAAGGCCACATACAGCACACAGTGGTAAAGCAATGTTATCATCTGTGCACAAATGAAAAGCTTCTATCTGAATGGGTAAGGCATCCTGAGGGGTTCTTCTGCACTAAACTGAAAACTTGCAATTAACTCTGATCCTTGGACTTACTGTGATCTCAGTAGTTCATGCCTATGCACTTAAAACAGCTACTAGACAGCGTGTAGACTGATTTCCTGAATAAAAAAAGCCACTGCTTCTTAAACTGTGGTTTGGACCCCTATATAGGGTCATGTAACTGAATGTGAAGATCACAAAAAATTAGGCAATGGTAAAAAGGTTTTTGAATGTGCAGCAATCAATTCAAAATCATATGCATAGTGGTCCAAGATGTTTCTGGAAGCACTTGCCTATATTACATTGCACAGCCCCATTACAGCCTTGGTTCTGAAAACACAGGTAGCGCATTTGCACTGTGTGAGGTGTTGCACCACACACCTGTGACCACTGCCTGAAACACTCAGATTCAGGAATATTGTCGGTTATGAATCGTAGTGTTCTTACTGTATATATGAAATTTTGTTCTTACTGAAATACTGGCTTACTTCTAGAAAACAAAGACTTTTGATATATTCCTACCATCATTCTCAGCATGTAAGTATCAGATTAGTATATCTCTGGATTGTCTTATGTTAGAATGTTTGATTTCAAAAATTGCTGTTTGGACTTTAGTTTCAGAAAATTTGTTGAGCCAGGGAGATGGTTTGGAAGTAAAAGCACCTGCTGTACAAACCTGACAGACAACTTGAACTTAGATCCCTAAACCCATGTAAAAACCAGATGTGGTGACATGTGTCTCCTGCAAGATAGGAGGCAGAGACAGGAGAATCCTCAAGAAGTTCAAGGGCAGGTAGCCAAGAATACACAATACAACAGCAAACAGCAAGAGAGACTCTGCCTCAAACAAGGTGGACGGTGAGGACCAACACCTGAGCTTGTCCTCTGGCCTCCATACTTGTGTGCAATCCTTTCGTATGAACATGTACATACACAAATATTTGGCGGGTGGGAGGTGACTAGAGAAACAGGTCAGTGGTTAAGAGCACTTGCTGCTCTTCTAGAAGACTAAGTTAGTTCTCAGGACCCACATCAGGTAGCTGACAATCACCTGTAACTCCAGCCTAGAACAGGTCAGTGGTTAAGAGCACTTGCTGCTCTTCTAGAAGACTAAGTTCAGTTCTCAGGACCCACATCAGGTAGCTGACAATCACCTGTAACTCCAGCCTAGGAGATCCAACACCCTCTTATGGCTTCCATGGGCACCTGCACACATGGCATACACACACATACACAAATAAATAAATAAATAAATAAATAAATAAATAAATATAAATATCATTAAATAATCAGTCTTTTAAATTGTTAAATGAATTCTGGTTTAGGATTAGGACAGAATTTCCCACAACTTCTGAAATGGCCCTAAGCATACTTCTGCATGCATGGACAATTACAGAATCAAAATACTGTTTAAATAAATGTTGAAGATGCTCTACATAAGGTTTGTCTAACCTTGTGATATTGTGACACAATGTTGTCATCTATAGAATTCACAACTGAGAACCATGTAATCAAGTTGAAAACAAATTGAAAAAAAAAAATCTCATTTTAGGTAAGTTTATTTTGTGTTGGACTGCCTTCATAGCTTTCATTGGCCATGTGGGGCCCATGGGCCACTGGCTTAGGCACACCTGCTGTGTTGTGCACTATCAAATCTTCAACCAAGAATTAAATTCTTTATCTAAAAATAAACAAGTACACCTCATAAAAATTACTTTTCATCTTTAGTAAGTGATAAAATTACATGTATACCAAAGAATTGTTTTAAAATAAATTTATGGCTTATTAGGAAATGTTTGTATACTTATTTTAAATACCTATATACCTGGGGTTGCATAAAAATCTTTCCACTGAAAAGGAGTTGTAAGAAAGGAGAAGGTAGGAAAGCATGGGGTGCCATAAGCACAACATATAATACATATATATGCTTGCATGTCTTAACACAGTGCCATGTACAAGGAAATTTTAAAAAATAAAGAGACTAAAGTTCATTTTGTAGAGGGCTTGCCTAGACTACGTGAGGACCCTGGGTTTGATCCCTAACACCACCTAATCTGGATATGATAGTATACCTCTGTAATCCCAGCACTCAGGAGGTGGACGCAGAAGAATCAGAAATTCAGGGTCATCCTCAGCTACATAACGAGTTTGAAGCAACGCCAGCTTGTGCTAGAAACTATTTGAATGAATGAATGAAAGAAAGAAAGAAAGAAAGAAAGAAAGAAAGAAAGAAAGAAAGAAAGAAAGAAAGAAAGAAAGAAAATATTGCAAGTAGGAAAAATTTGAGGAGTCCTTATTTAGGTTAATAGTTTCTGGGTTGAAGACCGAACCCCACTAATATGATATTAATGTTAGTGGGCCACCATAACACATACTGTCTGAACAGGGTGATGAACTATCCTATTCCTGTTTTTAAATAAAGATGAAACAGTAGAAAGCTTTGTTAAAGTAAGTTAACTAGAGTAGAAGTACCATTCTGTGGTGTTAGGATATACAGCATATAGTAGAATTCTCATCGCTCAAATTCTTTACACTTGATTTCTTCAGTTTATTTTTTATTAGGTTATTTTGTGTGCATGCATGTGTGTATGCACATGCGCACACATGTGAGTCCTGAGGATTAAACTCAGTTTGTCAGGCAAACTGACACTTGTCACTTGGCAGCATGTGATTTCACCCACTAAGTCATCTCACCACCCGTCTTGTCAGCTTAGATGAGTAGCTTGGTTGGCTAATAGTCTCTTAGTGTTTATGTATTCATCTCCAGTATTACCACTTTGTCATCCTTGATCAAGAAAGTAAAAATGAAGAAAATTAAGCATATTTAATGTTTTCTATTGCATTATAAGGCACAGTTGGTGGATCTGCGATCTGAACTGACAGAGACTCAAGCAGAGAAAGTCGTTCTGGAGAAGGAAGTCCATGATCAACTTTTACAGCTGCACTCTATTCAGCTTCAGCTTCATGCAAAAACTGGTCCGAGTGTTGACTCTGGTACCATTAAGGCAAAATTGGTAAGTAGTTTCAAGTATGATATGTGCTTGTCTTTTGGAGCATGTTGAAATTATTTTTAGTGGAGTTATAATTATAAAATGTTGCGTTTTTATAATTATAAAATAATGATAATAATAATTTATAATAATGTGTTTTTATAATTGTGGGATGTTTAGACAACTCGGGAAATAGGAAGCTTATGGTGATCATATTCATCACAGGTGGTAATGCCAGTAACCACCTGGTAGTTAGAAGTTTTTCTATTTTAAAATACAAGTATAAATATGTCTAAATCATATTTAGGATAACAAACATTTTTTGCTTCTACTGTATCAGTTAGGATTAAATCTAGCTACTGTAACAGAAATACAAGTTAACACTGAGCTTGTTCTTGAGCAGTATTATTCCCCAGAAGAACCCTGAGGCCGGCTCCCAGAACTGATGCAGCTGTTCTTCAGATAACAGGGATTAAGGTTCTTTATTTTGTTGTGTTCTGCCATTTTTGCTCATGGTTTCCATCTTTTGGATTTCCTTATGTCTGTGTCTAGACAGGAACAAGGAAGAATCCAAGGGAAAGGCAGAATGGCGATTCTCAACTGTTTTACCCTTCTTAAAGATTTTTCATGAAAATTCAGGAATTTCTGCCAGCACTTCATTGGCTTATTCCTAGCTGCATGTTGGACCCCTAGTTGGCTTTCTGTTATTATGAAAAAAGGGAGAAATGTAATTTAGTGCCAGCAGGTTTCTTTGGCTCTTGGATTGTAAGCATTTCCTCTGCCAGTGAACATTGTAGAACTGTCTATGTATTGTTTTATTGTGTGGATTTACTCTAATTAGCCATAACCCTCTTAATCAATATAGACTGCTTAAACAGAAAACAAAATTTTAAGACTCATTTCAGTTTAACCTCAAATGTAGTAAGTGTATCCCAGGTGCCAGACATTTTGCTAACTAAACAGTGGTAAGAAAGACAGATCTGCTTGGGAGAGACAGGACATGAAACAGTGCTGGGTGTGGTGAGAGTAGTATGATTCAGTTTCATTTATTTACATTTAATTTTCTTTGACTGGTTTCAAATATTGGTGTGTTGGTGTCCATTTAAATATTTATATTCTAAAGTCCTCATAAATTCTGAAGGTCTATGAATCTGTGTTATAGTGTTTTATTTAACTGGCGTAAAAGATTATAAATTATTTGAGATGTATGATATTAACATCCATTCATTTTTATTAGAAAATAATTCCTGAACTTATAACAGGTACTGTAGAGAAAAGCATATTGATCAGTTATATTGACTGATTTTGATTAAAGCTTTTTAATCTAATAATTATTATTTATAGATTTGCAATGCCATTTGTTCTGTTGAACTTTTCCTGTGTGGTATTCAACACATGGAAATTTTTCTTGTAATGATTATGCCACAAGATAAATTGATTTGTTTGATGGTTTTCTAATTATAAAACTTTTTTCTTGTATCTTAAGTCTGTCCCCTCTGTGGAGGAGCTGGTAAGTTTGTCATTTCTGTTTCGCTTCACTGTGTTGTGCTGAACTGTTCTGGCGTGTTATTTGCATATTACATGTTGTCACTCTTTGTATTTGAAAATGGTGTTAATGCTAGTGTTTCAGTCTGCACATACCTGAAAATTCGAGTGGATGGCTCCTTGTACTTTTCTCACTGCATGTTGTTAAAGATTTTCTTTCATTTTTAGAGTCTAGCCATTGTTTGCAAAGCCCATCAATTTTTGGCAACGTCTGGGCCTTGTAACTTGCTCAGTTGTACTTCAAAAGAGCAGTGGCTGCCTGCATGAGGTATTAAAGTTATACTAAGCAGGCCTAGTTTTTAACCCCCTCAAGTTTCTATTTGAATTTGTTCCCGTTAAAGGAGTGTGCCTGCTGATTTCTTATCCAGTGCATGTTTTAGAACTTTTCAGCAGGTTTGAGGATAATTGTGTAGCCTTTAAAACACTGGACTTTGAAAATTCGTTACCAGACATTATTTTAGATAATAGCAGTATATAAATTCTTAATATCTTTCCCATTACCCAAGTTAATCAGATTCCAATTTTATTTCTGTTTTTACTTCTTTTGAAGATGTATTCTCTTTCTGTGTCTGAAACTTGAAACAAACCTCTTGTTTATTACCCAGTAGCAAAAAGATTAACTAGGAAACAAATATTTAAATTTTAAAGTAATTCTCTTCTGCCTCCTTAATCCTGTTCTTGCTTACATCTCTTAATTTGAAGCTTCAGGGCTTGTCAGATTCATTAGGGATTTGAATTACTAAACAAAAGTGGTGCCTAATATGCTACTGAAATTTTATTACTACAGTACAACTACCTCAGCAAAGTAATTGAAAAGAAATAAGCCTCATGGTAATGTTTATATAGTCTATACATCAAAGAAATCTTAGTCTTCAGGCTGGGAATGTAGCTCAGTTGGTAGAGTGTTGGCCTAGAATGCTCAAAGCCCTGGGTTCAGTTTCCAGCACTACATAAAACTGGGCATGGTGGTATACCCGGCCTGGGCCACATAATGAGACTCTGTCTCAGAAAAGAGAGAAACAAAAAGGAAAGAACCAAGGAATGAGGGAGGGAAGGAGGGAGGGAGGGAGGGAGGGAGGGAGGAAGGTCAGTAATTTTGAAATTGCTATAAAAGTATTCTAGATTATTAATTTTCCATACTCTTTTTAAATAATGGTGTTTAGAAATTGTGTTCTAATTGTGGTGTATATGCGTGTGTGTTGTGTATGTACATACAAAAGTTGAAATTGCTGAATTTCCTTCTGTTTGTCAGTTATATAATAAATATTCATGTGTATCTGTGTATATTGGTGGAGGGGTGTTCCCCAGTGCTAGAATCAGACCCATTCTAGGAAAGCATTCTATTGCTAAACTACACTTTCAGCCTTATATAACAAATATTTTTAATCAAATAAAATTCTATCCAGCATTTGATAGTTTTCATTAGTTTCTCTGTATGTGTGTATATACACATATGTACTTAAAATACATGTATGTTATTGATATTATGTTATATACTACCTTGTATTTGAATTTGTCATTTTTTGATATGGTCAAAATAGTAGACCAAAGCATCAATTACATTAATACCAAAATATATTTCACAAATTTCCAAAAGTTTGTAGTTGGCTTATTTGTTTTGTGACACCCCACCCCCACCCCTATACCCCCTACCTGCCTCCCCTCCTCTGGCTTGAGACTAGTCATACCATGTAGTGGCTGACCTAAAACTTACTATGTAGACCAGGCTGGCCTCAAACTTGAGGCAATCCTTCTGCCTCTAGAGTGCTGATATTACAGGTGTGTGCTGCTATGACAAGTTGTTTGTTTGTTTGAGATAGGATCTCAGGCAATTCAAGCTGGCCTCGAACTTGATATGTAGCTGAGGCTAACCTGATCGTCCTGCCTCAGCCTTCCAATAGCTAGGTTCATGCATGGTGTATCTCTTCTTCATATCTAGACTAGAAAGGGAAATAATTACTTAGTCAGTGCCTATACATAAAACAATACCATTTGCCATTTCCTCAACAATAACTTTTTCCTAATGCTGAGAAAAGTATTCATAAAGGGGATATGATGGTGTAGTGATTTATGTCTTCTCTATCCCCTGGACAAATATAATCATATTTTCTTAGGATTTGTGGATTCTCTAAGTTAGGAAATGCAATTCTCAAAATGAATGCAAGTGTGAAGTGTTTGGATGTTTTTTTAATTCAAAACTAGTAGTTTACAGCTAGGCGTGCTGCCTACTTTTACACCTAGCACTCGGGAGGTGAAGGCAAAGGCAGGCAGATTTCTGTGAGATTGAGGCCAGCCTGGTCTGCAAACCAAGTTCCAGGATGGCTGGAACTGTAGAGGCCATGTCTCAAAAAGAAAACAAAATAGCAACCAAAACCAGACAAAACTAGTAGTTGGAGAATACCTATGGAGGCCCATAGTCAACTCTCAGAAGAGACTTTGTACCTTCCATTTTGTACTCTGCTTTGATTTTGAAACTTCCCATTTTCCGCTTGGGTCCTGAACCCATGATCTGTAGGCATATACACATTGTATAAAGTTAGGGAAATGTGAACATTATTTCTCACATAAGAACTTACAGTAACAACATAGTTCTCACATAAATAAACTTGCATTTTAATGATGGTGATTGGGATTATGTCTTCTAACATCTATAGATTCACATAAATGACTGTTGCAAGTAAGGCAAGTTTCTTTTATGAGAACTGAAAATGGATGACTATTTAACTTCACAGGAGGCTAACGGATGACAGTGTTTTCCTTAGAAAACCACTCTGCATCTCTTTAATATATAAATAAATGAGCTATCTGTCTACCAAAGTTTTCGAATAATCTGCACTATAGATATACTTTGCCTACAGAAAATTTTAAATGCATGATCTATTACAGTTATTAGTTCTTCCTGACTGTACATTGTTTTCTTAAAAATTAGATTGAGGCCAGTGAGATGGCTCAGCAAGTAAAACACATGATGACCTGAGTTTGATTCCCTGTGGTGGAAGGAGAGAATCATCTCCCTAAAGTTATTTTCTGACACACACACACACACACACACACACACACACACACACACACGTATGTACGCACGCGCGTGCGCGTGCACACACACACACACAATAAGTAAATAAAATAAAGCAACTAGAATTCTCCTAATGTAAGCATTATTAGTTTCTTGTAGTTTTCAAAGGTAAATTGGCTCTAACATGAATCTGTGTAACCAAATGATTTTGACTTGCTTTATGGAATCATTGTGTTGAAACTAATTGTTTCAAAATATCCGCCATAGTAATTTTTTTTATTTTGTGGTTTGAGGCAAAATCTCAGTAGGTAGTTCAAGCTAGCCTGGAACTCTCCATGTGTCCCAGGCTGACCTAGAACTCATGATCCTTCCACCTCAACCTCCCAAGTGCTGGTGTTACAGTCATGAGCCACCATGCCTGCCTGTCTTACTCTTTTTATAGTCATCTGGTTTCTTTAGTCATTTTTAGAAAGTAAGTAGATTCAGTTATCTTGTTAAAGCAGACTACTTCTTAATGTCAAGGTGCATCATGGATTGCAGTCATCTAAAAGAAGGTCCAAGACATCATGGTCCTAATTTTAAAAGAACAAGATCCAATCAGGCATTGTTTCACATATCTGTAATCCCAGTACCTGGGAGGCAGATATAGAAGGATTGCAAGTTCAGGACTATCCTGAACTACATACATAGTGAGTTCTGGGCCAGCCTGGGTTATCTACCAAACCCTTGTCTCAGAAAAAAGAACTAGATCCAGCCTTTGTGTTTGTTCATTCAAATAAAATATCAATTTTTCATATGCTTTCATTGTATTATATACTGTGCTTACATATATTTTAAGAATGTAGTATACTGCTACAGAATCATAAAGGAATTTTCATTAAATCATATCTTTAAAATTACAATAGGAAAGAGAGCTTGAAGCAAATAAAAAAGAAAAAATAAAAGAAGCTCAACTTGAAGCTGAAGTGAAATTGTTGAGAAAAGAGAATGAGGCCCTTCGTAGGCATATAGCTGTTCTCCAGGCTGAAGTTTATGGGGCAAGACTGGCTGCCAAGTACTTGGATAAGGAACTGGCAGGAAGGTGTGTAAAAAATGCTCTGCTTGTATCTTAGGTGACACATTGGATGGTTGACTCATCTCTTTATAAGTGAAGCCTTTTACCCTCAGAATTATTTTACAGTTGATGATAGCTTAAAGTTGTTGAATTAGTCCTGGCAGCATTATATAGCTTAGATTTACTTATTTATACTAAGTAAGTGTGATTTATAATACACAGACACGTATAGACAAACAGTAACTTACTGTGAAATGCCTGTAACTGCAAGACTGTACTTTTTTGCTTATTTCCTGCCTTGACTCCAAAACAGGTAATGCTCACATGACCAGAATAACACCCATAAGGAATCCTTTGGTCACTTGTACCTGATCTTTCTGACCCCTCAAAAAATATTTGGAATTAAGTGAATACTAAAAATGAGGGGGGGGGTGTTGGCTTTAATTTTGTTAGGTAAATTGTTCACAAACTTAGGTGACTTATTAGTACTAAATCATTTTTTGCTCATTATTTTGTTACATTAAGAACTGATCTGAAGCAAAGAATTTTTATCATCTTGAAATATAAATATTCTAATAATTTTACATTTAATCGCTTTGTAAAAAGAAACTTTAATAATATACTGAAGGACTGGAGATTGGCACAGTGGTTAAGAGCATGTACTGCTCTTGCAGAGACCTGAGTTCAGCAATGACATTGAGCTGCTCACAGCCACCTGTAACTCCCAACTTCAGGGGATTCAAGGCCTCTGGCCTCTGCAAACACTACACACACATTCACATACACACACATAGACACACATACAAAATTAAAAATAATAAAAATAAATCTTACAAAATTAACAATAAATCTTAAAACTAGTGCACTGCTTATATTTAGTTACCTTGATTGTATGTAAGAAATAAGACATGCTAATTTGACATCATTCTGAAAATTTGTTTTCTTAGATGTATTTAAATCAAGTATATAATGGAGTTCTCATTTTTGTCTTTAAATTTTTTTTGTACTAGTTTTCCCTTAAAGATACCTATCCTTTTCAGTTTTATTGTACAAATCTGAAGACATGAGGAAACTTCTGGATATTCATCTTTTAACTAACTGGGATGTATGCTAATGCTACTTATCTCATATTTAGTAATTCTTGTGAATTATCTCTATAATAAGCATAATGAAAACTAAACTCTTCCTGCTGTAAAGGGTCCAACAAATACAGTTACTGGGACGAGATATGAAGGGACCTGCTCATGATAAGCTCTGGAACCAGTTAGAAGCTGAAATACATTTGCATCGGCACAAAACTGTTATCAGAGCCTGCCGAGGACGGAATGACTTGAAGCGACCCATGCAAGCACCGCCAGGCCACGTATGTACCTTCCACTCAGCCTTTTCCTTCTTGCTACAATCACAAGTACTTTCTATGATTTTTTTTTTCTTCTTCTAATAGTATTTGAAACCTTTATTTCAAGAGTGGACTGGGGATTTGTTTATTTAAAATAGATACATACTTTAAAATTTTGATCACCCAAAGGAATTTTGGTAGTTTTTAGGACTTAATATCCCGAGGGTGGTATTTCTGCAGTAATCCATGTCTAGGAAACACGCATTTCAAAATTTTTCTGGATCATGATTGAGCAGGCTTAAATTTGTTTTAAATTTGAATACGAGTATGTGGTTGTTTGGATAAGTTGTATTTGGAGGAAGTTCTTCAAGAGAATTTTTACTAACTACATTCAAACATAGATTCTGATCTAACACTTTCACCTGTTTGGTCTTCAATTAAGATAGAGCTTAAGAAACGTAATCAATTTTCTGCTGCCATAGTTGCCATTAAGCAGGAGATGTCTATCTGGATAAATCTTCACTAACTTACATTAGATAACACAGAATTTACTAACAATTTAATATATGAAACAGACTATTCAGTGGTTCACATGACATAGTACCAGATAAAACATGGCCTTAAATATTAAACAGTAAAATAATGTTACCTCCATAAAAATTGTATGAAAAAATTGATATCACCATAGCATTGAGGAATGGGATTATCACACCATTATGCCACTGTCTTCTGTAGGACCCTAATTGGGCCCCATTAATTTCTAAGTTCAGTAGGTTTGGGAAATGGGTCAGGAAGAAAAGTAGCTGGTGTGGAGTGTATCTGAGTGACAAAGTTCACTCAGATAGCTTTGTGAAAGCAGCTAAACATTAGGCTGAAGGTTTAGGCAGTAGCCAGAAGACAAAAGTTATTTTACATTAAATATACAAGTTTAGACTTTATCTGATAATTATAGGCATTTTAAATAAAATAGTGAACATAATAGTACAGTTCTGGGCCCAGCTACTTCAGAAAGATATGATGGTAATCCAGGAGAAAAGTGAGCAAAGCTCAGGAGGCATCATTTGAGAGAAATAGAATTGGTTGGGACGGTTTGACTGAGTTAAATCCTTGACAACTATTGGTTAAGTGAGTGAAAAGGAAAAGTCTAGGTTTTTGATTTGGCCAACCAAGTGTGCTCAGGCTTTTATTGCCAAAGGAAATAGAAACAGTGTTCTGTGGGAGGAAAGAGAATGTCAGTTTTAGAGAAGTAGTGTCTGAGATGCTGGCTTGACATCCAAGAAATTCATCCAATTGGGTATATGACTGGAATTCAGAAGAGAAGCCTTGACGTGAAGAAACATTTGGGAAGCTGCTCATCTATTATAATTGAAACCATAGAACTGAGTAGCTAGGGAAAATATGTAGGAGACTAAGAATGGAAACAGTGTGAAGTAAGAAAGTGGATCACAGAGAAAGAAACCTGGAACAGCCAGATGTAGATCACCCAAAAGCAGTACAGTAAAAACCAAGAGAAAGAGTAGGTTTCGAGGGGTAGTGACTAAAAGATATTATTGAATTTATCAGTATTTTTTTAACAATGACTGTATAGAAAATTGCAGTTGTGCAACTTAGAGGCAAAATCTTAACCACAATGATCAGAGCAAAGTGGGAGGCAAGGAGGGAAATTTGTGAACTTTGAGTGAAGGTTAGGAAGGCAGAAGAATTATTTATTTATTTATTTATTTATTATTTTTGGTCTTTTTGAGACATGGTCTTCCTGTAGCCCCAGCTGGCCTGAACTCGCTCTGTAGACCAGGCTGGCCTCAAACTCACAGAGATCCACCTGCCTCTGCCTCCCAGGTGCTGGGATCAAAGGCGTGTACTACCATGCCTGGCTTACTTATTTATTTTTGAGACAGTCTTTCTATAGCCCCAACTGGCCTGGAACTTGACCTGGCTTGCCTCAGTCTCACAGAGATATGCCTGTCTCTGTCTCCTGAGTGCTGGGATTAAAGGCATGCACAATGCCTGCCCATTTGTCTGTATCTTAAAACGTTTTTAAAAAATTGTATTTATTTTTATTTTATGTTTATGCATATATTGCCTGCATGTAGTGCCCGCTGAGGTCAGAAGAAGCTGTCAGATCCCCTGGGACTGGAGTTATGGACAGTTATTAGCAGCCATTATTAGCGGCCATGTGGGTGCTGGGATTTGAACCCAGGTCTTCTGCAAGAGCAGTCAGTGTTCTTAACTGATGAGCCATCTCTCCAGCCCCTGTCTGTATCTTAAAACAGGAGAATGCTTAGATTTGTTTATCTGCTGAACTGAAAAGGTGTTTAGGAGAGAGAAAGAATAATGATACCATAGACAGCTGAGAGTGGCCTCAGTAGCAAAGTGCCTGCTCAGCACTTAAGGTCTTCGGTTTGACCTGGGGTGGGAAGGGGGGTGGCTGAAGAGATGGGTCAGCACGTAAGCACACAGGCTGTTCTTGTAGAGAACCCGGGTTTGGTTTCCAGCACCCTCATGATAGCTTACAATCTTCCATAACTCTGATTCCAAGGGATCCAACACCCTCTTCTGGCCCTGTGGGCATTTCACAGCAGGGGGCGCTTACATACCTGCAGGCAAAGCACTCACACATAAAATAAATTTAAAAATTTTTTTAAAAGGGGGGCTGGAGAGGTGGCTCAGCAGTTAAGAATACTGACTGTTCTTGTAGAAGACCCGTATTCGAATCCCAGCACCCACATGGCAGCTAACAGCTGGCCTTAACTCCAGTTCCAGGGTATCCGACAACCTCTTCTGTCTTCTGTGAGCATTGCATGACATGGGTGCACTTACCTACATGCAGGCAATACACGCATGCACATAAAATTTTTAAAAAAAAATTTTTTTAAAAAGGAGTGGGAAGAGAGGGAGAAGGGAAAGGAGATCAAAGAATGATTAATGAAACCAGGTACTGTATTTAACAGACTCTAGATGACCAGGCAATAAGAAAGTAATTAATGTTCAAATTGAAAATTTTTTTCAGTTCTAAAAAGAGTTTAAATGGATGTAAATCTCTTAAGAGCTATTGTTTGTTTTTCTTTGTTTGTTTGAGATTGGGTCTCACTATGTAGCCCTGACTGGCCTGGAACTTGCTATGTAGACCAGACTGGCCTCAAACTCACAGAGATCCATCTCCTTTGCCTCTGGAGTACTGGGATTAAAGGTGTGTACCACCAGCCTCTTAAGATATTTTCTAGTGAAGATAGATAGTTACCAGTTTATTCCTTGAAAATATTTATGTACTAATTCTTGACAATAATTTCATGTCATAATTTAAGCAGATATAAGTATTGGCAGAAGGTAAAAAAGTCTATAAATTTCACTATATTGACAGAATTCATTTCATCTATTAATTTTTCCACTCTGTATTGTATATTTCTGCCAGGAAATTAATAAAGATTTCTAAGAGCAAGTTATATAATATGAGTTGTATTCTGTCTGGTTTGTTATTTATGTAATACTAATTTTTCTTCACCTCTCCCCATAAGGACCAAGATTCTTTAAAGAAAAGCCAAGGGGTTGGTCCAATTAGGAAAGTTCTCCTCCTTAAGGAAGATCACGAAGGCCTTGGCATTTCAATTACAGTAAGAAGTAGTACTTTGGTTTCCTTGTGTATGGTTATCGAGTAGAATCCTTTCTCCTTTGCTGGGCATTATTTGGGGAACAAAGTGTTCTGGATATATCTCTAAACAGCTAAATTTTTTTTCAAGACTTGGGCATCAAGGCATCAACTCTTTATGTAAAAAAATTTTTGTATGTAAATCTAACAACTGTTAGGTATTCCTTTCATTAGCATAGTTTAGCATTTCAGTAAAACTGAAATCTGTGTCATATCTCTGTGATGTCCATAAGAGCCTGCGAGCATAGACATGGCTGTTCTCTTCTTTGCTAAGTGGCTACAGATTGTATTGTTTTCTTTGGGGTATGTGTTACCTCTCTCCTGCTTGGTTTTCTACCTGGAGTCCTGTGTCTAGATATAAACATATTCTTTTGTTAACTTGCAAATACTTTTTTTTCATGGAAAACATGGAGAACAGTAATTCCTAGTGGAAGTCATTTTGTTTTGCATTAATGATTTACTCTAATTTTCATTAGAGAATATTTAAGCACCATGTAAGTTCATTTGTTTTCTGGCATTGGGACTACAGGCGTGCACCACCACGTCCGGCAAAAATGTTTCTTATTTTTAAAAACTTGTCTAGTACTGGCCCTCGTGGCACATGCCTTTAAATCATAGCACTCGGGAAGCAGAGGCAGGTGAATTCAAGGTCAAACTGTTCTACATAGCAAGTCCCAGCCCAGTCAGTGCTACATAGTGAGACCATGAGAACCTCTCTTAAAAAAAAAAAAACAAAAAAAAAAAACCTAAATTTAATCTCTTCTACCTACATACCTTTTTAAATGTATTGCCCTCAAAATGCCCAAGTTTTACTAGAAATAACACACAGTTACACATGCTGTAAAGTGATAAGCACCAATTACTGTATTTCTTCAATTCTGCATTATGCATTTTTTTCACATTTAATGTTTCTGAACATGAAATTTGTATTGCAGCCTTAAAATTATTTTTGTTAAGGCTGGAAAGATGGCATAGCTATTAAAGGTTCAGTTCACAACCAAAATTATTTGGTTATGCATAAAATAATTGGTTTTACCCTATATAGCAATTTAGAGTTGATAAAAGTGCAATGGGGGGCCAGCAAGATGGCTCTTCGGGTAAAATCATGCAAGCCTGAGGACCTGAGTTTGATCCTCAGAGCCCACTGTGGGAGGAGAGAACCAACTCCCAAAAGTTGTCCTTTGTCCTCTATACATATGCCTTGGCATTCACACACAGACACGCACACGTGCATGCACATAAATGAGAACAGTGCTGAGTCGATCATTTGTTTTTAATGTTTAAGCTTATGCTGTTGTAGTTTTTACTTGAGACATGTTAGTGTTTGGGGCTCTGTGATGATCTTAGAAAACCATGTTTTTAATCATTTTACTGAGGGGTGCCTCTTTGGTAGCAAATAAAATTTCACTGAGCATTTACAGAGACTATAAGTGCTTACTGAAAGGAATTTATAAGGAAATGTTTTATTTCTAAGATGGTCTGTGAGCTTTATGTGATATAAACTAACGTGTTGCCTTTGTTGTTGTTGTTAGGGTGGAAAAGAGCATGGTGTCCCAATCCTCATCTCTGAGATCCACCCAGGGCAGCCCGCTGATAGATGTGGAGGGCTGCATGTTGGGGATGCTATTTTGGCAGTCAATGGAGTTAACCTAAGGGATACAAAGCATAAAGAAGCTGTAACCATACTTTCCCAGCAGGTAACTTCTTTTTATGTCATAAAATTGGATCTCTCAGTTGATTCTTTTTAATCTATTAAATTCCTCCCTCTGAAGTTTCTCAAGTAGTGAGGTGTTTATAGGTATAGAACTCATTTTCTTTGATTTGAGCTTATAGTTACTTTTATAGATAACATTTTGTCAGGTTTACCTTTTGAAAAAGGACAATTTTGTATTCTGTTTCCCATAGCTACATAACTTTGAACACGTCACATATAAGTTCTGTGCCACAGCTTCTCATCTCTGTGGTAGAGATGGAAACCAAGCTGTAAGGTGTAAGTGCTAATACTCAGGATAGGTAGTTACAAAACATAACAGAAACATACAGATACACGGTATTAGAGAAAAGACTACTGGAAGTGGATTGACTTTAGTCTAGAACATTAAACTGAAAGGATCCTTAGAACTCCTCCAGCCTAACTCTTAGTTGTAAACCTCAGTTCTTAGAGATTAAAGGGTTTGCTCAAGGTTACAAATCAAATAAATTACAGAATTAGAGTTCATATCAAGAGTCAAATTTGTTATCGTATGTACTTGCAACTTCTGTTTTCCTTTGAGAATAGGATTGAGAGAATTAGAAAATTGTATAACAAGGAAGTGTTTTGGGATCATCAGTGTAGTATGCTAGTACAAAATGACTCTTACTTGAATGTAACTGCATAGCTGATTAGCTTAGCTCTACATAATGCAATATCAGTTTGGTAATTGTACTAAAAGGAGAACTTACTGATAAACAGTCCATTCTGTTTTTATACACTGCTGATTTTACACCTCAGTGGTAAAAAGCACTGACTGCTCTTGTGGAAGTTCCAGATTCAGTGCCCAGCACCCAATGGCAGCTAACTACTGTCCATAACTCTCGTTCTAGGGGATTCAGTGCCCTCTTATGACCTCCTCAGGTAGTGCACATATGTGGTGCACATACATGCAGACAAAATACTCATACACACACACAAAAGATAAATAAATATATAGATAAATAAATAGAAAGTATTTTCTTATATTAAGCATGAAATTTGTATCTAGTAGGCATGTCTAACCTACTGAGATGTCTGATATTACAACATGACATTCCTACCTATAAAGTTCACATTTAAGAGTCTAGTTGCACAATTGTTACCAAAAAAATGAATCTTGTAATGTTTTAAATTAGTTTACTCTTTGTATTGGGTCACTGAAGACCACTACATTATCTGTCTTCCTTCCCAAGTTGTTTCTTTTAAAGCTGCTCTAGCCTCTAAAGTGATGCTGCCTCAGGTCTGTGAGTACATGCCAGGAGCATGAGAGGGGATGAATGGCAGCTGTGGTAAAGGGGCTATGGTTGGCAGTCCAAGTTTTAAGGAAATGCTAGGCCCAGTTAAGTGTCTCAGGAATAACTACTGGGAAAGGAGAGCACCAGAGAAACTGTCTTAGTGGGTAGCATTCAAAACTGGCATCCTTTCTTTTGAGTTAAGGCAAGCCATAATTTTCAGAATTACAAACCCAAGACTGGGATGTGGTGATTATAGTCTCGTAGTAAATGATCATTATAGCTTAGAATTTTTTAAAATTTTTATATTTTATGTGTATGAGTGTATTGCCTGTATGTATGTAAGTGTATCCATGTTGTACAGTGCCCTCAGAGATCAGAAGAGGGTGTCAGATCCCCTGGAACTGAAGTTATGGATAGTTGTTGGCTGCCATGTGGATGCTGGGACTGAACCTGTGCTCTTAACCTCTGAGCCATCTCTCCAGCCCCATAGCTTAGAATTTTTAAAACTTAAAATTATTTATAATTTTGTACTTGAGCATAAAGTTGCTATTAAATAATAATAATAAAAATATTCCACATTTCGCCTAGCATAGTAGAACAAGCAGACTTCAGAGCCAGATCTCTGCTTTTCTGTGCACTTGCTCATCACACTGGGAAAGTTGCATGTTCTCTTTAGTACTCGCCAGGGCTTCTCATTTATGTACGAGATTATAGAAGGGTTATTCTGGGGATTAAAAACTGTAATTTTATATAATAAGTGCAGTAATAACTGTTATTACTAGATAGAATGCCTTACTAATATTATTGTATGGCTCTCAGTGAAAAATTTATTTTCTTAAGGTTCAAGACTTCATAAAAGCTGGGCATGGTGGCACACACCTTTAATCCCAGCAGAAGCAGGAAGCTGTCTTTGAGTTTGAGGCCAGCCTGATCTATATAGGGAATCCCAGGCCAGCCTGGGCTACATAATGAGGCCCTCTCTCAAAAAAACAAAAAAGAAAGACTTAGAAGCCACATGTGGTAGCTCACACCTCTAATACCAGCATTTGGGAGGCTGAGGCAGCAGCATAGCTGCAAGTTTGAGGCTAGTGGTTGAGTTTCAGGCTAGCTTGTGCTATAGAATAAGTTCCTGTCTCAAAATGGAAAAGGAAGCTGGGCGTGGTGGTACACACCTCTGATCCCAGCACTCAGGAGGCAGAAGCAGGCGGATCTCTGTGAGTTCAAGGCCAGCCTGGTCTATGTAGCAAGTGCCAGGCCAACTGGGGCTACAGGGAGATCCTGTCTCAGAAAAACCAAAAACAAAGAAAAGGAAAAGAAAAAGGTTTGACACCCTTGTGTACAAGTTTATTTAATGCCTGTTTAAAAGCTTTTGCTAAATGGTTGGTAAAGTACAAAATGACTTTAAATGGAATGCTTGCTCTAAGATTCTAGAAATTTAATAGTGAAGCATTGTTTTATTTTAGATGTATTATTAAAAATACTGTGATCAAGCCAGGAATAGAGGCATATACCTGTAATTTCAGCAGGTCAGGGCAGAAAAATCAAGAGTTGAAGTTCATCCTCAGCTGTACACGGCACTTCTAGACCAGCTGGGGCTGCATGAGACCTTGTCTTTAATTAATTAATTATCATTTGATACTTTGATCAGTAGAAAGAACTAATATTAAAAAGAAATTTCTTATATAAAGAGAAGATTCATGGAGTTGGTCTGGACATCACAGCCTCTCACATTTGTTTTGCCTTTTGAAATGCTAGAATTTCACTGTTTGCTGTTTGAAAAGGAGCAGTATCTGTTGGGCCTTCATCTCTATGCTCAGCTCCCAGAAACTTTGAGAATTCCATTCTGATTTCAGCTATAACTTGACTCTTCCTCCTCTTCATTTCTGTTTTAGAGAGGCGAGATTGAATTTGAAGTGGTTTACGTGGCTCCTGAAGTGGATTCTGATGATGAAAATGTAGAATATGAAGATGAGAGTGGACATCGCTACCGCCTGTATCTCGATGAGGTGGAGGGAGGTGGTCATCCTGGTGCTAGTTGCAAAGACACAGGAGGTGAAATCAAAGTGTTACAAGGTAAAAAAAAAAAAACTCTAAATTTTATTATTAATGAATTATTTTTAAAATTTTAAAATGTGAAAGCCTCAGGTGTTACTCAGCAAACACAGTTTTAATGATGCAGAACTCAAAGGAATGAATACCTTTGTCTTGCTTATAATTTTATTATATGCCACTAACTTGTTGAAACTTTACCTATATATGTTTTCTAGATTAATTTTGGACTAAGATGTTTGAAAAATAAAGAATATTCACATTTTCATGACTGAAACAAAGACCAATGTCTGTTTTAGAGCAGATATATCTTAATATTGTCTGTCTTAATGCAAATTCTTCTCTCATAATATAATGAATTATGGTTTAACCACCATGAACCAGTGGTTAAAGTGGTTATTATTTGAATCAAGATATGTGGTCCTCAAGATTTTTAATTGGATACCTATTAAGGAAAAATTCTAGCACTTTGTATAGATCAGTAGTTTCTAAATTATGATTTATAAGTGTCCGGGAGTCCCTGAGAACTTTTTAGAGGGACATGGAGGTGGGGTGGGGGTTAAAATGATAGTAATGAATAATAATGGACTTTTTTGTGTGTTTTTTTGTTTGTTTGTTTGTTTGTTTGTTTTAAAAAGGTAGTCTCACTTTGTAGCTATGACTGGGCTGGAACTCACTAGACTGGACTCTGTCTCACAGAGATCCACCTTCCTCTGTCTCCTGAGCTCCTGAGTGCTAGGATTAGGGTGTGTACCACCATGCCCAGCTACTGTGACCTCATTTATCTTTTTTTTTTTTTTCAGTCACAAAGCAACCATCAAATAATGAGTTTATTTGAACTCTAAAATAAGTATCACATATACCTTTCCATTGAGTGACTTCATGGGTCATGGCCAGCACAGAACTTGGTTAGGAAATCCTTTGACTTTGGAAGAACTGCGTAACATGTGTCTACTGCTTCCACACTTTAATGGTTTCCTCCAGCTCCATCTTTCTTTCCCTCAGTGACCAGAAGATCAACCACTCTGGGGTCTGCCGCGTGGGCATTCTTCATGAACAATTCCCAGACTTTTTCTCTTCCCTGTTTCACGATGATATCCTGCTGGAATAAGTGCACCCCGAGGTGCTGGCTGCTGGCTGCCATCTTGCCAAGGATACCGCCCCCACCCCCACCCCCGTGTCATCCTGCCCTGCCCTCCTTTTTTTTAATTAAAACAATTGTTTTAAAGTATTTATGAGTGTTTTGCCTGAATGTGTATAAGTGTATCATATGCATGCAATGCCTATGGAGGCCAGAAGAGGGTGTTGAATCCCCTGGAACTAGAGTTACAGACACTTGTTAGCCACCGTATGGGTGCTGGCAACAGAACTCAGGTCCTCTGGAAGACCAGTTTTTGCTCTTAACCACTGAGTCATCTTCCAGTCCCCATTTATCTTTTGATATTTGTGCTAATGGTACAGAAGCAGTTTGGGTAAAACTACTGGTGCCCTAGCACAGACCACCATTGTTTTCTTACTTGCCCTGCACTCATGGGAGAAAGGAATAGAAAATGCAGTTTTATTTACATGTGAGAATTTTATTTTTTTAATTTTTTTATTGAATTTTTGTGTATTTCATCTTACTTGTCTTTATACTCCCTCCCCGTCCCCACAACCTCTCACAGCCCCACTGCCAGATTTCATGCATTCTGTCATTTATGTTAAGGCCTATCTATAGAATCAAGTTAAGAGCACTGGCTGCTCTTGCAGAGGACCTGAGTTCCCAGCACCCATAGGGCATTTAACAACCATCTGTAATTCCAGTTTCAGGGAATTTGATGCCCTCTTCTGTCCTCTGTGAGCATTCATTGTATGACGCAGGTGTATTTATATACATGCAGGCAATACACTCATACACATTAAAAAGTTAGATTAATAAAGCCAATAAATGTTAACATAAACCTGTTTAATGACAACTCTTACTTTCCAAGCAAGAACAAGCTCTTGAAAGCTGCATCCCTGGAGCTCCTTGCACAACTTACAGGCAGCTCCACAGATCAGAGTCTCCCCTCCCCAGCAGTTACACAGTGCTTGTGTAACCTTAGAGAGGATCTTCATGAGCCTTGTAACTTTCTTTTTCTTCCTGAGTCTTGGGAGCCTCTCACCTTGCTCCTTGCTCTAGGAGGGAATATTTCAGCTGGGAAGGAATCATAAACCATTGTGGCATTTTGTCAGAACTTTACAGGTCTTCATGGTTTCATTCTCCTTCACCCTTCTTGCTACTTTTCATAGGCATAGAAAGCCAGAGCTAATAAAATTTCTCTGTTACTTATAAATTGTAGGCACTTAAAACATGAAATATGACTTAAATAACCCAAATGCATGCCATATAGCATATCACTATTAACTGATCCAAATCATAAAATGTACATCTTTGGGGAGTCCAGGGTCATCCTATGACTCCCAGCATGGCCAGGAACTCACTGTGTAGACCACACTATTGTTGAACATGGCTTTTCCAGCCTCAGCCTTCCCAGTGTTGAGATTATAGGTATATGCCACCACACCTGTCTAAAATGTGTCTATTCATTGTTTAGCATGTATTCTTCTTAACCTGCTTACCAGGTGTTGAGGTCAAAAGTTTACTTATAGTCCCATTTTCAGTTGGGTTAACTAAACAGAATTAGTTTTAATATTTCACTAGGCATTGTTCTGCCAACATAGTAGATGTTAGCAGTCAACCAGCATGTGCTTCAGTGACCTGATGTTAAATTAAGATAGATGCAAAATATGATATTAAAATAGTCAGATTTTGATAGATACCTGTGTTAAGTTTAATTGAATTTATAATTTAATTTATCAGTCCCAAGGTTTTTAGAAAACTGAATTATGTTTTTTCACAACTTTCAGGTAGGTTCAACAGATCATACTTTAGAATTTTGTACGGTGTTTACTCTCTACCCTGTTATTTTGCCTCATATCACTACTACTAATTGCAACTGGCATTCCTTTGTTTTCACTCAGTAAAATTATAAAAGTAATTACGTTTCTAGGCCAAAATATAACTGGTTTCTCTTTGTTTTTCCCTTTCAGGATATAGTAAGAAGACAGTAGCGGATGCACATGAAAATGGAGACATGGGAGCTTCGAGCGAAAGTCCTCTAGATGACAGCACTTCCAAAGTGGATGATCTGCACAGTCTGTACCATAAAAAGTCTTACTAATTTGACTGTAGCTTCAGACAAGATTGTTAATCAGACTCTTGAATTTGGGGCACTAGAGAAGATGGTGACAAAGACTGTACAAGATCAAGGGAGACTGTTTGTTGCCTGAAGAAAGGCGGTACCTCAGGGCTTCATGTGAACAATTCTAAGTGCATAAAACCCCCTGTTTTCTCTGATATACCACAATTAGCTATTGCATGTAAAGCGATTTTGATTTTCCTGGAATCGTAAGCACCAAAGCATGTGTTTCCCAAAGGGGTATTACTAGACTCTTACGTACCAAATGCAGTACGATTTTATTTGGCTCCTTTTCATATTTAATAGGACAATGCTAACTGGAATTTTATAAGTAACCTTTAAATACAACAGAGTAAATGAGTTCATATCACATATTTCCTAATGATAACTATGGAATTTCAAATGTCAGAGCTTGACTCGGTGAATAGCAGAAATCTAGGTTGACTTATTTTTGCTTAACTGAAAATTTTGTTTTAGGATTTAAAAAATGTATTGTGCATTCCTGATAACTAAATCAATTCTTCTTGATCATTTATTATGAGTTTGCACTCCAATTTATTCAGTGCAGTACAAAATAGTTTTCTTTAAGCAATCCTTTACCAATCAGTGCTGCACTAGAAGTAGTCTCTGAAAAGTTACCGAACATTTAACTTTGGGTTTTTAAAGGAAATACAGATGAGTGTAAAATACCTGTTCTCAATTATGTTGATCTATGTGCATGGTATTAGAGCATTACGCTATTAATGTTTAATCTCAAGTGTTTATTTTCTGGAATCCATGAAAGTCACTTTTATACATTTTGAGTTGTTCATAAACTTTGTCTTGTGTAGTCAGGAAACATTACTTTGTTTTGAAATATATTGTGTACAAACAGCAGTTTTCGTTTAAGTACCTGATTTGCCAATCATTTAAAAAGCTGGGTGCCAGGGTGAGCAAGCTAAGGTGAAGACATTTTGGTACTGATACAGCAACTGTATTGGTTTTCATATCAGTATATGTTTGACTAAAGTGATATTCGAGTGCAAACCCTATGAATTTGCTAGTTCTCTTGTATCAGAGTTAAGCACAGAGTCACTGCTCTCACATTCACTGTCCTGCAGACCATTGTACCCTGCTGGGCAAAGTCAAAATATTGTATTTAAAGAGGGTGATTTTTTGGCAACATCACTGTTGTCAAGGATTTACATTTAAGGGAACATAACGTGGGAGAAGCCTACATATAAGGCTTTTAGAACATTGTCAGTATCTTCATTTCTGGTGTGCTTGTTTTTCCAAGATGCATTATATATTTGTTCAACGTTAAATCTATAAAATGTATATACTTTATTTTGTGATTTTTGCTATTTATAAATTTCATGTTTTAATTGTTGCTCAATTATAGTTTTTTTTGGGTATTTTTGTTCTTCAGTATATTACC